TCAAAGGATAAAAAACAGACTCTCGTAGATAAAATATCATCCATGATTGGGCAATGCACATGTTTCCAAATAAACAACTAAATTGTGCAAGTGCGGACAAATACTCCCAGACTAACATGGACTTGTCGAGAGATGTCATTGTTCTTGGTCCGCGAGACTCGCGCGAGTCTGTGGAGCCTGGAGCAGTATCGTTAACTCAAATCAAGTACCAAAAACGCCGCATGCAAACTGCGATGTTATGTATTTTCTATTGCTATAATTTAAACCACTATTATGAGACAAATCAAATTTTGCCGAAAAATACCAATTGAAGTTGAAAGTTATTCACAGAATAGCGATTAGCTGCAAACTACTGTAAAATTATTATTATTGCTGTATAGATTACACCCGTTTTCAAAATTACGCGACCTCCCTGAAAAATACTCTTACTTCAAATGTCAGTTTTATGTCACAAGAACTGCTAAAAATAGCAAACGTAAACAAACAGTCAAAAGACATTTTAAACCGTATTTAATAGCAAAGTTGAACAAAAATGAGTTAGATAACTTAGATATACAAACTAAAGCACAATACAAGCCATCACAACAGAAATATGTGCCGTGAATGACTTTTAAAGTTTGAAAAATAACAATTTATCCTCGAATTTAGCTGTCAGTATAAAACACGCGCGCTAGACTATAACGGTCATGTTATGATTTTGTCATGCTTAAATTTTGCAATAATTCTCACTAAAATATCTTGAAAATCATTGTAAGCCTGTTTATATAAAGCATACAAAGCATATACATCGAAAAGGAATCGCAAAACTCAAAGTTTGAACTTCGTGACCGAATGACATAAAACTGACATGTCAACTCTAGCATTTTCGTCCTTGGTCGCGTAATTTTGAAAACGGGTGTAAAGATAAAGGACAAATCTCAGTATACGTCGCAGCTAGTCAACGTCAATGCAACTAAGATCGTTTTATTCGATGAATTGAATGGTTTGCATGAAAGGACAAAAATTCTGCCGAATGGGCAATGATGAAAACTTTTATCAGAATATAATAACAAGTTCATGGATTTATTAATTCCATGCGACGTTATGCGGCAACACACATTGTCGACATTGGCATTGTACCTGTCCGGTCATGAGGGATACAACGTCCTAGACGAATTTAATTCTTCTGACCGTTTTTCATCAATCGAATTAACTTTTCTGAGTTAAATACAATGATTATGCATATTAGTCGCTATAAAAACTCCGCGAGGAACATTGAACGTGTTTCCGGTTATCACAAAAGGTAAACAATAGAGCTATTTATAGCCATAATTTATGAATTTTGTACCATTTCATATTCCTTTTGCCGACAAGTTTTATTGCGAATAACATAACTTTAAGTATTCTATTTTAACCCTAAAAGTGTTTTAGACACCAGGTAGGTTGCACTTTTGAGAATTTTTAGTTTGAATTTTGTACCTAATCATTAGTTGTTCGGCGAACGAAAATACCGACTTCCTTGGATGGAGACTAGTAGGCTTAAAATAAGATGTACATTCAAATTCTTTCAACATTCTAAAAGAAGAAGAATATGTCACAATACGCTGAAAAATGTTTTTAATTTGACGCGAAACTTTCCGAGTTATGATGCACAATTTAACACACATTTGACCGCCGTTTTCGGGGTCAAATTTCAGTGTCGCTGACGTCCAGACAAAAATTCGTCATAACTCAAAAAAAAAGAAAAATTTAGAAATTCTAATATTAGTTTAATACCTTTTAGGACAAAGGTAGTTCATGGTAAAAATATAAAGCAAATCTAATTTTCAACCTGAAACGTTCTGCATGGTTCTTAGTGAGACAGCCACTTAAAGGTGATCTACAGTCCGATCTGCGCATGTGCACAAATGAGCCCACTTTTTATGATGCAAACAGTTTAACTATGTTTTGAGTTCTTGAAAAACCTGATTGTTGTTTCTTGATCATTTATTATACTCTAGAAGCTTGAAAATATAAATAGTTGTCGAATAAAGCTCAATATTTTGGACACAAAAATGTAAACAAAGGCTTTGTTTACATACGGACTGTAGATCACCTTTAAACAACAGGAATTCACATTTGTATACAGTACATTGGGAAGTGTTCTAGTTACCGTAGTCTACTTAGCCTGCGAACAGGCTCTCAAGCTGAATTGAGAGCCTGCATCGATGACTGATGAATTTGAATATCTGCCCCGTAACGTTCGTTTTTCCAAATATGGAATGTCTATCCTTATATGGTGTTGTTTACAACTTTCGTGCAAACTAAATTTAGACCGTGCAAACTAAATTTAGACCGTACAGTTTATACTGTTTTTCGAAATATAAGATATTGAAGCAAAAGTTTAAATGTTTTAAATACTGTTTTCTCAAAACAGAACATTTCGTGCTTTGAGATAAGACGGCCAAGACCAATTTGATCAGTTAATGTGTTTTTTTATGCATAGTGCTTCAGCAGTTCACATATATAGAGCTCAGCGGAAACATATAAATTATAGCATCTGACCAATGAGAATTTCGCGTCACGATTTGAGACGCAGATATTCAAATTCATTAGTCATCGATGCAGGCTCTCAATTCAGCTTGAGAGCCTGTTCGCAGGCTATAGTCTACTCAATGTACTGTCATGCATTATGTTTGGACATAGTTGAATTATGTTCAAGAGTCGGGCGGCGTGTTACAACATTTCAATCTCGGAGATTTTTCGGGGATTCTGACTAAACTAGTAAAGAATCGTGGTAAGCCAATGCTGCCAACGTACGCGCACCTATCTACATTACCGTACAGTACATTATCTACATGACGGGGGGGTCACTAAGATTTCTGCTCTAATCTAGGGGTGGGCCACCTCAATTTATTGTCACAATTTGGGGGTGGGTCACTGTAAACCAGTCTTTAAAAAATCAATTTTCATAGCCCCCCCCCCCTCTACTTTATGATCGGTCCCTTATGCCTAAAAGTACATTTACCAGCTGCGATATGTCTTTCCGAATCCAGACGCAAGTTTAATGATATAAAACGTGTCTCTGACTAAAACTAAGCAAAACTTTAAATCAGCTAGCCCGTGATATTGCAGTGAGTATACGTACCTTAACACTTTTGTAAGTTACATTCTCCATAATTGCAAATTTATTGAAGTAAAATGACAATTTCGTTTGTCTTCAAGACCGCATGACATAAATACTTAATGAGTTTTCATATTTAACCTTTACTGACTTTCATTTCAATAATCATGAATCTTTAATTAAAGTGCACGTGAAACGAAATCTCCCCGTCATTTTTATGCTTGATTCAAAAGTATCTTGAAAATTATGAAGAATGACCTAAACAATTTATTCAAAGCTCATCTCGTTCCAAAATTATCGGGCATTTTGAATTTTTGGGCTATGACTTCATTATGTATAGTCTTTTTGTGCGAAAAGACGACAGTCTGATATCTCAGAAGTGATCAAACGAAATTGCATGAAATTTGGTATAGATTATAATTGCACCTAAGCAAACAATTCAGATAAGGTTTATGTGGTTGTTATAGCAACACATTAGTTACTTGATGTCTCCGTTTTTATGTGCGGTGAATATAAACTATTGAATAAATTTTTAAAATTTTCCTTTGAAATTGTCTAAATTATCTATATATATGGCAGGCATTACTAAAATAAGAAGAGAGACCTGGTAAATAATGTGTTGCTACGACAACCACATAAACGCTCCAAAATATTTGTTTGGGTACATTTACTATCTGTACCAAATTTAATTTCATATTTTGTTGAATCGCTTCTGAGGTATTAGACTTCTTTCTTCGTGCTGCCATCTGAGCACAACTAGTGACGTCATATAACATAAAATATAAAATCCCGATTATTTGGGAAGGAGATGAGCTGTGAATAAATTGTTAAGGCCATTCTTCATCATTTTCAAGATAATTACAAGTGACAGATAAAAATCACGGACAAACATTTCGCATCATGTGCACTTTTGAGCTATATATGTAATAATTAACAAATATAAAACATTTTCCGTGTTGATATGCAGTTATATCAACACGAGTGGAAAATTGGGAAATCGAGAAATTGTGTGGAAACACGACGCCTGTAGGAGGGAGTGTTTTCGCACAATTTTGAGTTTTCCCAATTTCCACGAGTATTGACATAACTGTATGTATATCAATACGGAAAAATGTTTTGTATTTTTTTTAATATAGCACAAAGAAATATAAAGAAATAAATTTTCCTTGTTGACATTGAGTTATGTCAACACGGCTCTTAGCCAATCCGTGTTCAGAATTTACAAAAGCTATTAATAGTATATTATAATGTGCATTCGTCAATGCAAACACTTACAATTGAGTGTCACGGCCAAAAATTAAAGTTTACACCATGGCCAGAAAAATAATGAATGCTGTACGGTATATAACGTTCCACTAAATGAAAAGGTTTATTACATGCAATGTGCCCAGTTGTTATATTTTATTCAATGTTTCATGTTACAGTGAACTGCAGTGTTTTTGCAAGAATGAAAAGCCGAACGTGTACATAGAGTAGTTGAAAAATAAAAGTACAGCGTATACTTGACAGACGTAAAATGACAGTAAAAACTTTAATAAAGCTATCCTCTCAAAGCACTTCAACTGCAGACACGTATGATTTTATTCACCTGCAGCTGTGTTCATGATATTTCATGTTACACTGTTACAGTGACTACTGCAGTGTTTTTGCAAGAATGAAAAGCCGAACGTGTACATAGAGTAGTTGAAAAATATAAGTACAGCGTATACTTGACAATAAAATATATGACAGTAAACACTTTAATAAAGCCATCCTCTCAAAGCACTTCAACTGCAGACACGTATGATTTTATTCACCTGTAGCTGTGTTCATGATATTTTAATTAATGATAACGTTTCATCAACTGACTCTCATAGGAATCATCATGCATTCTTGGCGACTAAGCTCATGTCTTAAATGGATCACTCTAACCTTACTAATGGCCATCATTGCAAGATTTAAAGCCAATGAATGTGTTAACAGAGCTTTTGAGCACATTTACGAAGGTCAGTCATGGACTATTTTGTTTTTGTAGGTATTCGGTCACCATATAGTTGCGCAAACATATTAAATTTCTGAATGTTTTCTTATCTTTAACACAGGAGGTCCACCTTTGCCTCCAGACGAAATCTTATCAAGTCATAGTGTTGGCGGTTCGGCCGACGTCGCCGCAATAAAGTGCTTTTCACTTTGTAAAAATGTGGGAAAATGTGTTGGATTCAACGTCAAAGCAAGTTTGAATGATGAAAACTGCCAGTTTACTAACGTCACTAAAAGCAAAAATAAAAATACACCAAAGAAAGGGGAATGGAAGTTGTTTCGCGATTTTGAAGCGGTATGTAAAATAAACTTCTGATTGTTAGATATTTATAGATTTTTGAAAAATATCTGCTAACATGTGTCCAGTTTGGTATAAAATATCAATATTTTAAAAGATACGGGTCGGGCAGATCAACCCAATTCGAAGTCGTTCTCACCGAGTGCATTAGTTCCGGGAAACCAAATCAAATTAAATTGTTGCAATATGATTCTTTAGCACAAAAACTAACGGCACAAAGTAAGATAAGTACGGCCTCACACTTTTTCCGGGAGCAATATTTTGCTAATCAATCAATTACTTTCAGTTCGTTTGAAGGAAACAAAAATTCCAGCGTCGGTGGAATTGCGTAGCATATATTATATACACGATACGACTATAGTCGTTCACTTGCCATGAGCTGATGAACAGGAATAGTGGCGCCTGTAGTCGTTTAATTAACTAGCTTCTACACCTCCAGAATGACAATCGTACACGTAAGCCTTTAATAAAGCGCGCATTGCAATCAATTAGCCTTGCTCACGGTCGATTTCATGCTGTACTGCCTCTCGCATTTTTGAGAATCTCCGCACCACGAAATACAACGTTTTAATATTGTAGTTGTTTGTATAATGCTAAATTTACAGTTACAACTGTTAAAAGTCGCTTTTCACGCTGTTTGACTTGTCTAGAACCTTTTATGAGGGTAGACAGTGCTCCCAAAATAGCGAATTTTGGTTCCTGAGAAAGGCTAAACTAACAAAATTCGGACGTAATGGGAACAAGAAGCCTGCTCAGGCGTTCACACTGGCCTGCAAATGACGATATGCATACGTGCTATTGTGTAATAGACAAGGAATACAAATGTGAACCGCAAACGCAAAGCGTGAAAGGCTGAAAGCGTGGCGTGATCGGTGATCGATACATGAGTGGGTGGGATACGCATAATTATCCCAAGTTATCCTGAGGAGATGTTTTCGCAATGTCTAATGAAACATAAGTATTACTCACAAATACAAGCGTTGCACATGGTATCTGAGCATGCGATAACCCAGACAACATATTGTTAAGTTTTACATTCCGTAAGTCCGGCGTAACGAAAAACACAGCGATCCAGATTTTGCATTTCCAGAGACGTTGCACGAAAAAATTCCCCACCAAGTAATCTTCGTCCAAGAAAGTGCAGAATAGGATAAATACAAAATCCACAGAAAAGCACGGTAAAATTCGTTGACAAAGGAAGAGATTGTTTGAGACTAAGGCAATACCGGATTGCATCGAAGCGACGCGATTTATGTACCGGATTGGCCTCTTGTTTACACTACGCCACTGTAATCCGGCACGTGCCGCGGCGCGAAAATCACTTCGCTTTGGAGGTGATATGAAAAGTAATCCGGTACGTGCTGTACCGGATAAAACCAAGTGTAATCAAGCAATCCGGTACGCTCCGGTACTATAAATAGGTTTCGGCAAGTATATTTTAACATTGTCGTTTTATTTACTCGCTTTTAAATATTTTATAGCTGTTGTTTGCTTCGCTTTACAATTATTTATTATTTCTAGCAAAGACAAATAAAGATAGCGGTAATAACATTGACTTCTTGCTTTCAAAAGGGCAAAATTTAATGAAATACTCGTCAATTTTCGATAAGAGCGAGACAAAGCAACGTCGGGTGGTCAAGCTTTGTAAACAAAGTTATAATTCACAAGTACTGTCAAGAAAACGTCCAAAATGGTCAAAACTTTATTATTTGTTTCCGTGGCAACGATAAAAGATAGGAGCTGGCGACAGAGCGAAGCGGCATAGTGTAAACACCCTTGATTTTGGCTTTGGTGTGAAAATTGATCCGGTATGAAAATCAATCCGGTATAGTGTAATCCCAGCCTAAAACAGTCACTCATTGAGTGCCCGCATCTTGAAAACTGATCTGTATAGTAAACTGGAACACGGGAAACTGAGCCCGTGATTCGTTAGCGCAAATTCGATTTCTTGGCCACCAAAAAACCAGGAAAAACCCCCTGAAAACTAGTATAGGAAATTACACGCTCCGAGAAGTATTAATGAAAAATCGCACGCGTGTTTGGTGAATAACAAGCGAGCACAGCCATATACGCGCCTCTGGATGTGTCAATTTTGGTAGCACTTTCTGAATTTTCAATTCATACCTGTAAAAACTGTGAATAATCTTTGTTTCTTCTTTTTCTTCGTTATGACACCATAAATAAGAGCTCATTGCAAAAGAAGAGCTCAGAAAATGTACATTTTCAAGTTGTTTATTGTCAAGTTGACATTTTGTATTTAATGCACACAAGATCTGGAATATTTGAATTTGCGACTGTTGATAGCACAATTGTACTTAATGAACTGGAAAAATTAAACTCGTCTAAATCGACAGGCCCAGATAATATCCCAGTTAAACTGTTGAAAGACTCCAAAGAGACAGTTGCACCTTTCTTGGTATACATATTTAATACTTCCCTATGTAGTGGGATATTCCCCGATAATTAACCTTAAGGTGGCAAGAGTTTCACCAATTTATAAAGAAGGTGATAAAAAAGAAAGGGGTAATTATAGACCGATATCTGTTCTTTCAACTGTCGCTAAACTATTTGAGAAGCTCGTATGCATACAGTTAACAGATTATCTAAATGCAAATGACATTCTAAGCCCATGTCAGTCAGGCTTCCGTCAGAACCACTCAACAATGTCGTCCTTGTTGTCAAATAGCGGTTCATAGCTAGTCAATATGGATGCTGGGCTTGTAAACGGAGTTGTATTTCTTGATCTGCGTAAAGCATTTGATACGGTTGATCATGAAATCCTCATTAAGAAATTAAAAATTTATGGGGTTCAAAATATTGCCCTCAAGTGGTTTATTTCATATTTATTTGATCGAAAACAGTTTTGCAAGGTGGGAAGTGCAGCATCGTCAACAAAAAATATACGCTGTGGAGTTCCACAGGGTTCAAATCTCGGTCCATTGTTATTTCTCTTGTATGTCAACGATCTCCCGAACTGTCTAAGACACTCTAGTGCTGAAATGTATGCGGATGATACGAATTTGACGGAGTGTTCCGATGGTATTAACAATTTGCAAGCCATTTTAAATTCGGACTTCAACAATGTCCATCAGTGGATATAGTAGCCAATAAATTAACTTTGAATGTTGGTAGAATAGAGTATATGATTATCGGAACACGGCAGAAATTTAAAAATTCTCAAGTGAAATGAATATTAACATCGGTGGGAAAAACTTAACACAAGTCGTTTCTAAAAAAGTCTTAGGCATAATAATAGATGATCAATTACGCTGGGATGAACAAATAGACAACATAAGTAACAAAGTATCTCAAGGCATCGGCATGTTACGACGAGCTAAACAGTTTGTTAAAAGAGAAACGAAGGGCGAAACGTAGGTCTGATGAAAATGTTGTCAAAAGCGCCTTCCGCCCACTTTGCATTTTGCAATAATTAACGATGATGATTGACACATACATGGAATACCTAAAAATACAATGAAAGCACGTTGCTTTTATATACTTGAACCTTTGTAAACAAACAGTTACAGCTAGTAATAATACAACATTTTCAACACATTCTATAAATGCGATCAAATCTGCCTACGCAAATTTGGCAATGGCCAATGTGCCATTGTTGAATTGCATCCCAACTCTTACAATTTATACATTTCAAATCGCCATACAATGGTAAAATCTAAATAAAATATTTTGTACGTGCTACAGTATGTTATCAAAATGTAAATCATGAATGCGAACATATTTGTATCCGAGTTTTATTATGATTAATAATCACAAAACTTAGATCGTGTATAAAAAATTATATATTGTATTGTTTATTACAACGGAAAGATACAACGCTGAAGAATTTGACACGTACTGCTCTACTCCCCTCTAGTTTTAATTTTAGACGGTAGATACTGATCATAGACTAGTTGTCGTTCGGCATCCCAAAATATTTATAATATTAAACTGTATGCATATTTATATGCGTTGATTGACCGCTGAAAATATTCTGATCTTTTCAAATCTTTTCATGTTAGCGACCAACCAATCACAACCCATTTCCCTGTGAATTAGCCAATCAGCTTTGTCGACTGCCACCCACCGGGCACACGACGTTGTTTCAACGTTGAAATTTGGTAGAAAAAAGGTTGCGACGTCGACAACCTAATATCTACGTTGCTCTGACGTTGTTTTAAAAACATTGGTTCAACAGCAGCCAACAGACGTTGAATTAACGTTCATTCATGGTTAAATGTACGATGTCGATTTGTGAACCAATCTCAACGTTGTTTTAACGTGGATTCAACGTTGAATTATGGTTGACGAGATTGGCAACCTAATTTCAACGTTGTTTCAACGTCGAAACCGTAACGTCGATCCAATTTGCATAGTCAACCCTTTTTCAACGTCTATCCAACGTCTGGAAGGTCATTTCCAACGTTCATTCAACGTTGGATAAACGTCATTTTGACCGCTGGGCAGGCGGTCGACTTACATGCACTTTTGACAACATTTTCATCAGATCTACGTTTCGCCCTTCGTCGACCCGCGAATTTTAGGGCGGGCGAAACGTAGGTCTGTTATCAGGCTAGTATGTTTCAAAAGCTATTACCGGAAATTGCCCGAAAAATATGATGATGATGATGATGATGATGATGTTGATGATGATGATGATGATGATGATGATGATGATGATGATGATGATGATGATAATGATCCACGCGGGCTCGTATCCGTGTCGATTAATCTTTAATCCTGCAAATCGAGTAAATTGGTTATCAATATCCACATTATTTTGATTTATTTCACATCAAATTTCATTACTTTTTGCTGTAGTAGCTGTACACCAGTGTTTCCTGTACGTATACAGGGTGTATCAAAATAAACACAATTCATCTTTTGTGCTTAATAACTTTCGAAATACTATTTCTAGTTAAACGCTTTTAGGCTTACTTCAAAGCCTGTTCTTTTCTCTTTCAAACAAACTATTATCCTTGTCTCCAATGCTAGTAATAATTGCACAGGAAAAGATTTAGTAAAACCTATCATTTTTAGTTGCTGTTTAATTATGCAAGTTTACTATGTTATTATTTAGTCGGTTTAAATGTTAGAATTTTCTTCTTTAAACTTTAATATTGTCGTCACTACATCTGGAAAACCACGTAAGAACAAATTAAAAGTATTTTAAAAGAGACCAGGTTGTTTGAAAATCCTAAACGAATGCTAAAAATCGTCAAAACATTCTGGTGTCTGAGCCAGAGTGTCATC